CTGCTGGGCTGGCTCTGGGCACGCTGCGCGGTGGCCGGGAGCCAGGGGAGCTGCTTGGGATGGGCTGGTGAAGATGCCAGCGGGGCCGGCCTTGCCGCTGTCAGCTGTGCTGTGCACAGAAGCGCAGCGCCGGGGCGCGTTCCCAACCCTGGAGTTGCTCTTTCAGCGCTTGGCTGAACCCTCTCCTGCTCTTCTGCTTCCTTGTTGACACCAGACCAGCATCCAGTGACTGCTGCGTGAGTACCCAGTGCAGATACACTGAGTCACCTGGCCCTCATCCTGAGGGATCACAGTGTCCCATGTTGCTGGCGGGACGGCCCATCACGCGACTTCATCTCTGCATTTGGCTCGGGCGTTTGCTAGGCTTGGCCTTATTGATCTTCCCTGTGTGGAACTGGGTGTCCTGCAGGTCCTGTGGCTGCTTCCCAGGCCCCTGACTCAGCTGCCAGATGGTTTGGGTCCCTCGTGCTGGGTGGGACCCCACGGCTGCCCTGAGTGCGTTACACGTCCTGCTCAGCAGGGAATGGGAGCTGCCATGTGCCTCTGCTGCTGGCGTCACGGTCCTGCTGCTGGCGCCGCGGGGCAGGAAGGGTGGAGGGAGGCCCGTGTTTTTGGGGCCTCCACCCTGCAGCAGGTGCCTGGCGGCTCTGCTGGCTCTGCCCAGGCTGCCTCTGCAATCTGCTTCCTGCAGAGAAGCCCCTTTTCCTCTTCAGCATAAGCCAGGGCAGATGGAGCCACAGCAGGGCTGAGCTTGCTTGGAAACACCTGAAACAAAATCCTGCCTCCAGGACCTGGATTCCCCAGGCAGCGCAGCCCAGCTTCTTAGCTGCCTTTCCAGGGAGCAGCTGGAGCGAGGCAGAGGTTTATCCAGGAATTGGTGGAGCTGAACCCCTCTTTGGAGGGAGGCACTTCTGTCAGGGGCTTCTGCAGCCCTGCTTCCTTGGCCATGGTGCTGAGGGATCACATGCATCTCCTGCCTGATCTGGTGGCAAAAATGATGGCTAAACTCCCCCTGATGTCCATCTTGAAGTCCCTTGCTGGAGCTAGCTTCAACCTTGATTATTTCCCAGCCAACAACTGAGCTGTAGAATCCAGCCGTTCTCTGCCGAGTGTTTCCTGGTAAACCTGGATCCGTGGCGGCGGGATAGGAACTTGTGCTCCATCCTTCCTTCTTGTGTTCACACTCGCTTTGGAAAGGGGGGCTTTGGTGGCCTGCCCAAGCAGATGGACGGGCTGTGACTGTAGTGAGGCTTCTGGGTCTTGGTGTAACTATTGATTTCCTGAGCATTTAGTGTTTCCTCGGGCCGCTCTCATGTTCTGCAGCAGAGCTTTCCGGCAGGGGTGCAGGAGGGAGCATCGAGGAAGATGGCTGGGAGCTCTGGAGAAACAAAGATCATTTTCCCCCTCCAAGAAGGCAGCAAACACTTTGGCCTCAGCTCTTCTGCAAACATCTCTTGTGGTTTTTCTGATCAGCAGACTGAGCACGGAAAACAGACTCGAGCTCTGCCCAGTGGGTCTGCTGGGCTCCTCGTGGGCTGGGCTGGGGCCAGGGCAGCTTCGTCTCAGCTGCTCTTCACTTCCCTCAGCCCTGGTGCTTTGGCTGAGCTGCCCGGGCCTGAGTTGGGGCCTTGTGTGGAGCTGGTCCCTCCCTGGAGAGCTGTTGTCTGGTGGCCTCCTTGGGACTTCAGCACTTACTCCTCCGACTTACCCTCCTGGGCTAAGTGGTGTCCGCTCAGCCCTTCTCCCCTTGGCCTGTTTGGCCCCAAATCCTTTCCAGATTTTTCTATAGCGGGAGAAATCTCCCCAAATCTTAGGCTCCTAAGGGCAGTCCTGGGGCCTGTGCCTCTCATTTGGCTGCAGGGGAAACTGAGTCAGGGCATGATGTGTCACCTGCTTGTTTGGTGGCCCCAGAGCTTTGTGGTGACTCCGCGCGTGAGCAGGGACAGTGGGTGCTCGGGTCCCTTTAAGGCAGCAGCTGGAGAAGAGCATTTTTGCCAGGAAGGCCCTTCAGCGCAGGCAGGGTGTAAGTGCTGGGGAATTTAAGGCCGTCCAGCGCCCGGGAGGAAAGAATCGGCTGAAGGGAGGAGGAGAGGGATGGCGGGGAGAGGGTGCTAAGGAGAATCAGAGCAGAATCAGAAACAGCCTGAGGTCGGGGCGGGCTGGGGAGGAAGAAGGGAAACGGCAAGAAAAACGCGCAGACCATGTTTGGCCAGGCTGCGCTGTTTGTATAAGATCATGTTCTAAAAATACAGCCCGTTCCCACCAGTGCCGGAGGAGAGGAGCCCTCTGCCCCGGCTTCCTCCTCCATCCATCAGCCGGGGCCGGCGCCTGGGCCGGGCCTGAGGGGGTGCTGGGAACGCGCCGGGCTCCCGCTCGCCTTCGCCTGCTGCGGTTTGGCTCGTTTCTGTTAATGCTCTGTCTGGTCTCCTTTTTTGGAGCTGGGACGATGGTGCTGAAGGGGGCCTGGGCCAGCCCGGCTCTGTTGTCACCGTGGCCCCGTGCGGGCTGGCGCCTCCCCGTCCTGGGGCACGCGGGGTGTCCCCTCCGCGTCCGTGTGCGCCGAGGAGCATCCTTTGCTCAGGATGCTCTCGTGTCCCCAGGCGGGGAGTGGGACGGGTGACGCAGGGGAGGGCAGTGTCGCTGGGCTCAGGCGCCCCAGTGCAGCCCGTCACGCTGTGCTGGCCCCAACGGGGCGTGCGCTGAGGGGGTCGATTCCCATTTAGCTTTTTCCAAAGTGAGGGAGTGAGTGAATCCCCTCACATCCTGGCGAGGCCAAGTCAGGTGTTTTGGCCTGCTGCCCGGCAGCGTTTTTAGTGTCACCTTTATCCGGTGCTGGGGCTGGGGCGGTTGCTCCGGATGGTGATGAGCTGTGTAGTCACCCACATTCCTATATCTGCCTGACTCTGACTCTGTACTGCCCATCCATTCCGGAGGGGATGATCCAGGCGCTTCAAGCATCCCTGGGCAGAATGCTTGGATGCAGCAGCATCCTGACCCCTGCTAACATCATTGTAAAGCAGGTTGTTTTGGTCTATGTGGCTGTCTGGCTTCTGAACGTGCTCTTGGTGGTGTGTTTCCCTGTGGGGAGCAATGAGCAGAGGTTGGACTTGCTCTCTCTCCCCTGTCCTTGGCTGCTTGGCAGGTGCTTTCTCCTCTTCTGCCTCCTGCGAGTGTGGAAACTCACAGTAAATCAAGCGGGAGGACTTATTTCTCTCCTTCCTCGAGTTCACAGCATGGGATGGAGTAGGTAGAGTGGACCCAGAGATGAAAGATAGAGAGATGTGACGTGAACTGGGCAGCAGAGGAAGATGCTGGGGACAGGGATGGGCAAAGGGGACTGTTCCCTGAACAGCCCAGGCTGCCTGGAGCTCACCCCAAGGGAGACTGAGCTGCTCAGAGATGAGAATTTGGGGGACTCAGGGAGGAGGGGGTGGCAGCATTCGCCTCTGTCCTTGGGCATGTGTGTCCCTAGTGTCCCCAAGCCGTGTCACTCAGCGCTTGAGGCCAGGCCTGCTCCCAGCACCATGATTTTGCAATTGGAAAAGCAGCTCCCGCTTTCCTGAACAAGACTCGGTGCTCCAACCTCGCTGCATGTGTTACTGCAGTGGCTACTGCTAGGCACGTGTCCTACGGGGCCATGGATAAGCAGCAGTAGGGACAGGTAGCCGACTGGCAGTGCTCTGGGGTCTTTTATTTCTAACTCTCTCCCTCCTTTGCCTCCTCTGCAGGTGCCAGCACCTGCACGAGGAGAAGTGGCCGTGATGGCTGAAGGCAGAGAGCTCATCTTGGTGCTGGAGAGAAACCAGTAAGTGTCGGGGCTGAGGCCGCCCTTGCAGGCGGCGCAATGGGGAAGGGAATTCCTGGGATTTCCCTTCCTCTTCCTGCATCACCCAGCCTGGGGCCGAGGGTTGCTGCAGAGCCTGGCTCTGCCCGCAGTGGATGGGAAGGGCCGCGGGGCTGGCCCAGCCTTGTGGCACGTTGGGCATCGCGGCACCGCTAAGGCTGAGTCAGTATTGTCCCGGCTCTGGGTCTGGGCCCTGCCCTGGCTCCTCTGCCCTGCAGGGGAAGTGACAGCCCCGTGTGGCTTCCTGACAGCCGGAGCCAGCGCCATGCTCGGCCATGCCCAGATAGGGCTGAAATGCTCATGTTTTTTTCCACCACTCACAGCCACCTCTCCCTGCCGCTCGCCAGCTCTTTCCTGCCCTTTCCTTTTTGGAGATGCTGCATCCTGTGCAGAGAGCTCACCCGTCCTCCTGACAGCTCTACTGCAGCCTTCACTCTATGAGCCACTGACTCTCAGCTGCTGCCCCATCACTCAGCCAAGCTGCTTGTGCAAGAACTAGGCTAGTGGTGAGGATGAAGGCTCGGCAGGATGGGCGTGTAGACTCCTAGGAGGCTTTGGAGAAGGGATCTCTTGGGATCCCTCTGATCTGGATCCGTCCGGGTGTTCCCCTGTGACAGAGCAGCATGCTGCAAGGCACCACAAAGCCGTTCTCTACAGAAGGGGCTTCTGCTTTTGGCTTCTGCTTTTCCTGGTGATTCTGGGAGGCCCCTGCCCTGGCCAGGGCTGGGGTGGCGTTGGGGACGGTCCCGTGGGGGCACCGTGTCACTTCTCTACGCTGCATCCCCTTGCGCTGCCTTTTGTCATGCCTGAACCAGAGCACATCTGGCCACATCTGCCTCCCCAATCCCTTGAGTGCACTGGGGAGCAGAGGGGTCCTTGGAGGGACAGAGCCCTGTTCTTGCTGCTCGTCGTGGTACCCATCACCCTGGGTGTTGTAGAACGAGCGGAGACGGTGCTCAGAAAAGTGCTGAACTCGGGAGAAGGGGGCCGAGGAAAAGGGCTGATGGGGAGCAGGGCCTGGCCCTGGAGGGAGGGGAAGCTGGGCGTGTTTGGGAGCAAAACTGGGGAGCCCCAGGGGTGGCAGCACATGCAGGAGCCGTGAGTAGAGGTCTTGGTGCTGCTTTGCCCTCCCGAGGGCTGAAACGTGGCTGTAAGGGGCAAAACAGAAGTCTGACAGGAGGCCTGGTACCTGCCGAGTGTCTGCAGGGGTGCAAGGAGGCTGGGCAGGACAGGAGGAGGCTGAGCTCGGGTGAGGGGCTCTGGGGCAGCAAACGGGAGCTGAGGACCAGGAGCGTCCCCAGTGTCCAAAACCCTCTGTGCATAGAGGCGGTGTCTGCTGAGGGGACCCAGGCGGCTGCGGCCGTTCCCACCGCTGCCTCCTGCCAGCTCACAGCCAAGGGACAGACCTCAAAGCGGCTTTCCCTGGGGGCCAGGAGAGCTGGTTGTCATCAGAGCCCATCCTCGGCAGTGCCTTCTAGCAAGACTTCACCTTGTGCAGTAGCAGGAGTCACCTCATCTCTTCCCTGCCCTTCCTTTCTGGAGGCTCCCGGTGCTTTGCCTGCCCCGGGGCAGACCCCACAATGGTGGAACTGGTGCTGGCTCTGCTGCCGCTCCGGGCTGACCGGGCCAGGGGCTAGGGCGCCTGGAAGCTGGAGCCCACAGGGGCATTTTTGGGTCAAGCTGGTTGCAAAATAGAAACCCAGAGGAGAGAGAGCCTGAGGTTAGGCTGGGGGTGGGTGCTGAGCTGATTTGCTTCTACCGCAGAGTAAATTCACTGGGATGGGGCCAGAATCGAGGGCCTGGCTGCCACCAGGGATAAACTTAGTCCTGCTTTGTTCTTCCTGCGGGATCAGTAATTTAGGGCTCTTGAGTCTGCAGAGGTCCATGTGTGTGTGTCTGGTTGCACTCTGTTCTCTTGGTGGCACCCAGGCACAGCTCATGCAGGGTGCCCATCGCCGTGGCATCTGGGCACAGTAGTGCAAATGGACAGGACAGGATTAGTGTCCCTGTTGCATGCATTTCTGCCAGGAGCAAGTTGGGGTTTCTTGGTGCCAAACGCCCTTCCCAGCACTCATGCCTTAGGCTGAGCTTCTTGAGGTGGGAGCTGCCTTGGCAGCATCCTGCCTGGTAGACTGGGAATTCCATCTAATTCCCCCATTTCCTCACTGGCCCCTCGGCTCCCATGCACCTACATTCCCCAGATGCAAATGTTACGTCTTCTTCCTGCTCCCTCATGCTTCCTGGGTGTCATCGCCCATCGCAGCAGCAGGAAGCGCCTGAGCAGCCGGGCCGGAGCTGTGTCATGGGCAGGACCCTGGGCTGGCCTTACCCGGCAGCCAAGGGGCTCCGTGTGCCCAGGGACAGCAGGGGGACATGACCCACCTCCTCCTTTCTCTCTTGGCAGGCTGCTGTCCCCAGGCTACACTGAGACGCACTACGCTGAGGACGGGCAGCCCGTGACTGTCGCTCCCAACCACACGGTGAGTGCCAGGAGAGGGTGGGACAGTGTTTACGCTGTGTGTTTTGCTCCCTGCAGCCAAAACCTGCCTTCTGAAACTCCTTCCGTCCTCTGCAGCTCCTGAGGTGCTTTTTTGCGTGCCTCATTTTCCCCCTTGTCCCTGGAGGGCACAGATGCTCAAGGAGGTGGCATTGCCCAGTGGCTACAGAGCTGGTGCGCTGGGCACACTGCCTTGGGTCCAAGCTCTCTCACGGCCCAGGCTTGTTATCAGGCTGCTGGCCCCACACGGACGGTACCGATGCAGAGCCCGGACATACTCGGTGCACCCATGTGGGCTCCAGTGCAGCTCGGCAGGGGCTCCTGTGTTTCCTGGGCTGGAGCCCAGATGCACTACAGCTGCAGGGCAGGGAGAGGACAAGCTGGGCTGCTGTGGCAGGATCCTGCGGTGACTCCGTGGCTTCCTCGGGGAGGAAGCAGGGGAGGAGACTTGTTCATTCCCCAGTGGCTTCCTTCCCACGGAGGTGCCATATTAAGTGACTCTGGGGACGTTTCTCCCTTCCTGCATTCTCCTTCCGGCCCCCAAAGCCACTGATCCACGTCAAGTAGAGCTGCCTTTTGCAGGTAGACCATCTCCTTCCTTTGCTGAGGATAGGGCAGCTCAGCTCACCTCAGGTCCTCCCCCAAAACTGCACTTGATCCTCATTGTGGTGGAAACGTAAAGCAAGTGGCAGAACAGCCACCCCAGGGGCCGGGGCAGTGGCAGCAGCAGGACTCAGGGGTCCTGGCTCTGCTCCAGGTGATGCCACGGGTGATGACCTGCAGTGAGGAGCAGGTTGTTCATGTCCTGGCATTGATTGTATCCTGGCTCCATCCCTCTCTCTCACCGGCATGGCACAGCACTGCTCTCCCAGCTGCTAAATGCTCAGAGAAGGGAGTGGGGCGGCATTCAGGACAAGGCACGCAGCTCTGCCTGACTTGGGGGCCTTCCTGAAGGTTTCTAATCGGTAGTGTCCGTTGTTTTTCTCCCAGGACCATTGCTACTACCATGGACATGTCTGGGGGTACCGGCGCTCCTGGGTTGTTGTCAGCACCTGCTCAGGAATAAGGTAGGGAGCAAGGAATAAGGACAGGGCAGCTTGGGAGTGGGAGGCTCTTGGCTGCTGTTGTCACGAGCCGAAGGGAGTGTGTGGTTGTGGGCAAGGGGCTCTTGGATCCAGCAGCCCCTTTCTTCTTAGTTATCCTGCTCTGGTAAATCCCCCACACAAAAAGTAGAGAGGAAGATCCTGGAAGTTCAAATGAAGGCAGCGCATCCGACAAGCTTGACTGCATCCCTTCTTTGCACCAGGGGCTATCCAACACGTGGAGTGCTGGATGGTTTGCATGGCTGATGTTCCGTGCTTCCCTTCCCCAGTCCTTCGTATCCATGCTGGAGGTCTGGATCCCTGGTTTCTTGGGGTCAGTTTTGTCCAGGAGGGGGTCTCCCTGGGCAGAGTTTGGAGTGTTGCTGAGTCGGGGGAGCAGAGAAGGGGCTCTTCCTGCTGGTGTCTCTCTTGTTCCCCAAGGGAGGGTTTGGAAGTGCTCCGGGGAAGTCCCCTTGGCTCCCGCAGGGCTTGGCAGCCCTCCTGCCGCAGCACAAGGGCCGCGTTTCCCAGCTCCATCTGGGAGAAGGAGAGGGGCAGACGCAGCCACGACCCAAGCTGGTCGAGGCAACGTGACGTTCAAGCAGCCCTACACCGTGGAGCTTTGGAGGTTGAGGGTGTGCTAGCTCGTAGGGCTGCCTTCACAGAGGCACCTGGCTCCTTTCTGTGCCCCCAGCCTGAGGTGCAGGCAGTTTGTGAGGCCTCAGCAAGGGCTGAGGGAGCAGGAA